TTGCTATAAACAATATGATCTAATAAGTCCTACCCGCCTCCCCACCCGACTCGTTTTACATGATAATGACTACAACGGCTTCGTCCGGCCAGCCCCATTGAGGTAAAATGCGTGCGTCGACCTCCCCCATTGGGGTAAAAAGTGTGCGTCGACCTGCCCCATTGGGGTAAAAAGTGTGCGTCGACCTCCCCCATTGGGGTAAAAAGTGTGCGTCGACCTGCCCCATTGGGGTAAAAAGTGTGGGTCGACCTGCCCCATTGGGGTAAAAAGTGTGTGTCGACCTGCCCCATTGGGGTAAAATGCGTGCGTCGACCTGTCCCATTGGTAAAATGCGTGCGTCGACCTGTCCCATTGGTAAAATGCGTCTCTCCAAAGAGAGAACAAGTCTGAATTAACCACGACTCGTATATCAACGCCGACCAAGATGAGCTAAGTCTACCATTAACCAGAGCTGCCACGGTCTAACCTCAGCCATACATACACACACGTTACTCTCAACAGGATATGTATATATTATATTCTCGACGAATCGTGACAATGGTTTAGACTGCTTGCTGCTTAGACCTGTTGACTTTCTCTTGGGGAACAGCGGCCTTGCCAGACCTCAGTGGGGGAGAGGGAGAGAATTTCCTGCCTAGCCTTCTGTAGGGAAGGATAAAGGGAAGAGAGAATGGGACAGAGGGGAGAAAACAGAAGAGGGCAGGTGGAGAGGTCAGACAGCCAGAAAAAGTGGATATGGATAAAAGTGGCCCAGGAGGGAGAGCCACCAGCTCCTAGAACCGGAGACATTTCGTGGCATCTAGACGACTAATCTTAGCACCATCTACACAACTGACCCTAATTCCGGAGACGCCTCTTAGCATCAAGTCAACTAATAAATTACCTCCTAGTATCTGATACCTTTACTCATAGCACAAAAGATCCCTTTTCTAGTACGATTAGAAACCCGTCCTAGCAGCAACTATAGTTCTTTTCTAGCACCGTAATCCCAGTTCCTAGCATTAGGAAACCTGTTTCTAGCACCCGCCACACCCTGTGGGTTCTCTCTCTCTCTCTCTCTCTCTCTCTCTCTCTCTCTCTCTCTCTCTCTCTCTCTCTCTCTCTCTCTCTCTCTCTCTCTCTCTCTCTCTCTCTCTCTCTCTCTCTCTCTCTCTCTCTCGAATTCCAGAGTTGCGGAGAGAGTGGAAGAACTGACGAGGTATCCACACCTACATGGGCCCAAAGGGTCACACTTGCATGGACCCCCAGGCTAATCACGCCTTCACGGGCCCCTAGGACACACACAAACCACAACCAGCACGCACGATACACACCACCACCATCACTATCCCCCACTCATCCATCATTATCAACACCACTACCATCATATTCCTATCCACCATCACCACTATTCTAACAACCGACACCACATTCACTATCACCAGCTACACTATACCACTACCACCTTCAGTATCACCACTACCCCTTCCTCTCCTGTTCCTCCTTCACTATGTATATATATGTGTGTGTGTGTGTGTGTGTGTGTGTGTGTGTGTGTGTGTGTGTGTGTGTGTGTGTGTGTGTGTGTGTGTGTGTGTGTGTGTGTGTGTGTGTGTATTTCAGTTTCCCCTGGTGTAACATAAATACACACAGAGGTGCTCTGTGCTACATAGTCTTCCCTGCTTGGCGCCTTCTTTGGATAATGACTTTCTTTCCTGATGTCTCCGAATTCCACCCCAGTTAGTGCACATATTCCTGGGTAATCTGAATAGCTTCATTCAGCGTGACAGGAGACAAATTGGTTTGACATAATTTATATTCATATTAAGTACTATTGTACGATTGTTGTCCTTCAATGCAAGGCTTTTTGGTTAAAGTATCAATATGATTTCGTAGACAATGTTTTGCTAAAATGCGTCTGTTTATTTTGAGTATGTCTTGCAATAAGAACGTCGTAATAGCTTCCTTCGTTGCAAATGGAACATCAATAGGGCTATCACACATTGCATCATTGGTTTGGTAGCAAAACCCCGTTTTTTTTAATATATATATATTTGTACAAGCCTCTTTATCGTAAATCCGGCTTGTGACACAAAAACCTCATCGCGAATGCGGATTGAGTGAAATTATTATTGACCTCAAAACCCCTGGAATGGGTAGCAGGTCCCCGGAGAGCGAGCATGGTAGCAATTGTCATTCTCGCAGCAGACAGACATTGCTGTTGCTTCTGCCACTTGCTGCAGACGACTGTTCCAATAGGTAAATGTTGCCATGGACGCCTGTTCCGGCAGATGACTGCTACTACGGACCATTGTTTCAACGTGCAACTGTTCGGCAGATGACTGCTGCTACGGACCGTTGTTCCAGCATACGACTTTTTCAACGGAAGACTGAAGCAGCGGGTGACTGTTCCAACGGAAGATTGTCGCTATGGACGAGCGGATCATACATTTTCTCATATAGGATTCTGGTCAGAACAGACTCTAAATCAGAGGAGTCGAATCACTTTTAAGCGTTCATGGGCAGTCTGAATAAAGCAGCGCGTTATGAATAAGGTATTCGATTCCGAGAAGGAAAATGGGACGTAAGGGATGGATAGCAGGGAGTCAAGGGATGCTGCATTGGCGGGATTGATGCTGGAGTGGTTCTATGAGATCCTGAAGGGGTTCTTTGGGAATGAGATGTATGGTAAGTAGTAGAAGGTGAGGAGACTTTCTGAGGAGTCTACTGGAAGCAGTTTAGGGGTGGGTTGGATTCCAGGGGGGGGGATTCCGTAGGGGGGATTCCGTAGGGGGGATTCCGTAGGGGGAGGAGGTGGATTCCGTGGGGTAAGATTGACCCCCAACTGGCCTCTCCAGGTGTAAACATCTGCCAGGACAAACACGCCTGCTATGGCTGCCAACTTACAATCTCTGGTTTTTACTGCTTTCTCACTGCCGTTTTTCCTCGCGGTTTGACTTTCTGCCACAACATTATTTACACGAAAAAAATAGCACATTGGGAGAGTTTGAATGTGTGTGTTCTTTTGCACCTTCTTGTACACTTCAGGTGATAAGACAACACTTGGCGAGAAATTCTGATTAAACATTGATTTTGTCTGTAGGTCAGCTGGGACGCTCTTGCCACTATGGTGCTTTTTTCGTTTAATTTTCTCGTTTTCCTTCTTAAAATGTTTTCAGTATAAAAGCAACATTTATCTGTTAGTAGATTACACACCTCATGCCTTTGATCTATAGCCTTACGGACTGAAAGCCACAAAGAATGCAACAAAAATATGGCTTCTTGTTGACCAGACCACACACTAGAAGTTGAAGGGACGACGACGTTTCGGTCCGTTCTGGACCATTCTCAAGTCAAAATCGACTTGAGAATGGTCCAGGACGGACCGAAACGTCGTCGTCCCTTCAACTTTTAGTGTGTGGTCTGGTCAACATACTTCAGCCACGTTATTGTTACTCATCGCCTGCATATGGCTTCTTGGTAACTATACAAGCATCAAGACACAGGAAGCGACTATTGAGATGGAAAAGTGAACATTTCACCATCAATCCTCTTCCTCTTGCAATCCTGAAATACAAGTCGTTTACAGCCAGCACGAGAAAAATACAAGACATGGACGTGGTACACCCAACACGGACGGAATACAAGAGACAGGCCAGTGGTACACAATACACAGGGCCGTGGTACACCCAACACGGACGGAATACAAGAGACAGGCCAGTGGTACACAGTACACAGGGCCGTGGTACACCCAACACGGACGGAATACAAGAGACAGACCAGTGGTACACAATACACAGGGCCGTGGTACACCCAACACGAACGGAATACAAGAGACAGAACGAGAGAAATGGGAGTGCCATGTCTAGAGTTTTGTGGAGGCGGGATGCACTCGGGGCATTGGACGAGGCAGCCTCAACTTTCTCTAACAGGGAGTCGCTATGCCAACCAACCCAGTGACCTACCTAGTTCCTACCTACCTACCTACCTACCTACCTACCTACCTACCTACCTACCTATCTACCTACCTACCTACCTACCTACCAACCTACCTACCTATCTAACCTACCTACCTACCTACCTACCTACCTATCTTCCTACCTACCTACCTACCTACCTATCTACCTACTACCTACCTACCTGACTACCTACCTACCTATCTTCCTACCTACCTACCTACCTACCTACCTACCTACCTACCTACCTACCTACCTACCTACCTACCTACCTACCTACCTACCTAGTTCCTCCCTATCTAGTTCCTTCCTACCTGGTTTACCCACAAGAAGAGAGAGAGAGAGAGAGAGAGAGAGAGAGAGAGAGAGAGAGAGAGAGAGAGAGAGAGAGAGAGAGAGAGAGAGAGAGAGACGAGAGAGAGGAGAGAGACAGAGATAGAGAGAGAGAGAGAGAGATACAGAGAGCGAGAGAGAGCGAGAGGAGAGAGGAGAGAGAGAGAGAGAGAGAGAGAGAGAGAGAGAGAGAGAGAGAGAGAGAGAGAGAGAGAGAGAGAGTCTCCCAACCCACACCTGGTCTATGTGGGTTGTAAATCCGGAAGTGTGTGCAGGCTTTTTGATGCCCCTCCCGCCCGGCCTCCCTCCCTCCCTCCTTCCCCCTACCAAGCCTCAGAAATCCCCCCACTCCCCCCCTCCCTACGATGCCCCCATAACATCCCACTCAGTTTGGAAGCTTCCTACGACCTCCACAACACCCGCACTTACGACCCCCGTCTCAAAGGGCCTCTCATCAACTTAAGCTTAAGTCGGCGAGTCTGTCTTTGAAGCTGTGAACCTGTATACCTGTCTGCGTGAAAGGTGTACACCTGTCCTTTTTAAATTACTGTTTCGTTTGAATTTCGTCTTCAGGTGTAGCTTGTGTGTGTACTTACCTAGTTGTGCTTGCGGGGATTGAGCTCTGGCTCTTTGGTCCCGCCTCTCAACTGTCACTCAAGTAATGTACAGGTTCCTGAGCCTACTGGGCTCTATCATATCTACACTGGAAGCTGTGTATGGAGTCAGCCTCACCATTACTATTACCACTACCACTACCACTACCACTACCACTACCACTACCGCACGGATCTCTGCAAAATTATAAGTGGAATTACGTCATAAGTTAAATGCTTAAATGGGCATCATTTACGTGAGAATTACGTCTTGTTATGCAAGCTTGTTATGCAAGCAGGAGTTGACGCTTGTGTAGTTTGGCGATGCATGGTGATGAAAGTATGGTGGTGGTGGTGGTGGTGGTGGTGGTGGTGGTTGTAGGAGTGGTGGTGGTGGTGGTGGTGGTGGTAGTGGTGGTTGTAGTGGTGGTGGTGGTGGTGGTGGTGGTAGTGGTGGTTGTAGTGGTGGTAGTGGTGGTTGTAGTGGTGGTAGTGGTGGTTGTAGTGGTGGTAGTGGTGGTTGTAGTGGTGGTAGTGGTGGCTGTAGTGGTGGTGGTGCTGATGGTGGTGATCGTAGTGGTGGTGATGTAGATGATGATGGTAGTGGTCAAAATTGGGGATAATTGAGAATTTAGGTGGGTGGGGGAAAGGGGCGGGAAAAAGTAATGATAACTGAATCATTGTCACCAAACCACCCGTACAACACTTAACAAGAAAAAGATAAATATCCCAATATTAAACACCTGACGATGAAGATGTACTGACCACGCAAAACCGAGTACCCGCGACACGACACATAGTGACCCTGACCTCCTCCTGGGCGTCTCAGACGTGTCCCTTCGACTTGAAGAAAGGTGGTGACGTTCTGGGGGTTAGCAGCTGTTGGGGAGTTACCAGAGTGACCAAACGATCTTGTCTATAGATATTTTTGACCCGTAAAAGTTGACCAGACCACACACTAGAAGTTGAAGGGACGACGACGTTTCGGTCCGTCCTGGACCATTCTCAAGTCACAATCGACTTGAGAATGGTCCAGGACGGACCGAAACGTCGTCGTCCCTTCAACTTCTAGTGTGTGGTCTGGTCAACATACTTCAGCCACGTTATTGTGACTCATCGCCTGCATATGGACACCCTTAAAAGTTATCCCACCGTCTTGTTGACCCCTTTTTGAGTTTTAATTGTTGCTGGTTGACCCCTCGTACAATTTCAAAGACTTTCTGACGTATGTGTGTGCAACCAGAAGACGGGAGCTATAACACAAGACGCTCAGCAATTAACAGCGTTTCTCTGGCTGTGCCTGTCTTAAAAAAAATATATCACAATCTGTTGTCATTCACTCTTTGGCTAGCTCGAATTTAGAACATGTTCACTCAACAAGTCAGTACTCTTGAAATCAAGTGAATTATTTGAGTATGTGAAGACTTGGCTGTGTAGTTGCTTCCAGCTCCACCTTGTGCCTGATACGAATGTAAGTTAATATTAAAGAAGAATTTTATCTAGTGAAAAATATATAACTTAGTATAAATATCAGTTTTCTTGAGAGAGAGAGAGAGAGAGAGAGAGAGAGAGAGAGAGAGAGAGAGAGAGAGAGAGAGAGAGAGAGAGAGAGAGAGAGAGAGAGAGAGAGAGAGAGAGTGAGACTGAGACTTTAGCTTGAGAATGAGAGAGAGAGCAATACACTTACTGTATAACGGACAGTCTCTCGTGTCCACATAGCATGGACTTCCTTGTCATTGTTAATGATGTTTGGTTGGTCTTAGCTGGCTGGCTCATGGATCCCTGTCCGGTGCGTCGCGCGCAACACCTGTCATGGCTTCCTCATTCTTATGTTGCGTCCTGTTCAACACCCATTATGGCGCCTTAATTACCCTGGTGTTGCGTCCTGTTCAACACCCATAATGGCGCCTTAATTACCCTGGTGTTGCGTCCTGTTAAACACCCATTATGGCTCCTTTATTCACCTGGTGTGGCGTCGTGCTCAGCACCCATTATGGCGCCTTTATTTCCCCTTGGTGTTGCTTCCTGCTCCATTACTCCCCCTCGCAGCTTTTTGACCAATAATCGTCCAATTTGACAAGTTTTCCTACCAAACTCGTCAAATATTCACCATCTGCTGAATAGATGAATATTTTCTTTTTTTATTTAAGTAAAATCCGCAGATTACTGTTTCCTGCACACATCAACACCACGTATACAAGTTGCAAATTGTGTACATTCATTATTTCATCAATTGCAAGAGAAAATGGAGCAAAGGTCATTACTTTCTCGTCGAGAATGATAAAACTCGTCCGGTGATCTACTAAGAGCCGTAAATAACCGATGAATAACTGAACTGACATACACAAACAACCTGAACAATGGGACCTGCCAGCACCTCTTTTTAAATGGACACAACACCGTAATTTGCTATTAAACATGCAGTCCATGCGACTTGAACTGTTCTAGTTGGGTGATCAAGTTGCTGTTGAAGCAGCAAGTGCGTCGCGGACCGCATCCAGAAACGGTCCGCTTGTGGCCCGCGGGCCGCGAGTTATACATGCCTGGCCCCATGCCTGGCCAGGCGGCGCGCGGGCCGCGTCTTATACATGCCTGGCCCCATACCTGGTCGCGTGTTATACATGCCTGGCCCCATGCCTGGTCGCGTGTTATACATGCCTGGCCCCATGCCTGGCCCCATGCCTGGCCCCATGCCTGGCCCCATACCTGGTCGCGTGTTATACATGCCTGGCCCCATGCCTGGTCGCGTGTTATACATGCCTGGCCCCATGCTTGGCCCCATGCCTGGCCGCGTGTTATACATGCCTGGCCCCATGCCTGGCCGCGAGTTATACATGCATGGTCCCTTCGTTTTGACCTGGTTCAGCACAAGCCGTCGTAATTAAGCAACTAGGGTCATTTAGCCAGCAATTAAAGTTTGCGCGGACCATAGGGAATATAGAGTGTTAGGCTGTATTTAGGTCAGTAACGAGCAAACACTAATTAATGGGGCTGAGAATCAGCGGATGGGGGAGGGGTGGGGGGAGGGGTGTGGCAGAGCACGTTCTTGCCCCGAGGCGAGGAAATGATTGCTGGTTGGTTAATAGGCATTGTGGGGTAAGCAGAGACGGGAGGGGGTGAGGTGGGGTGGAGGTGGTGTGGACCGTGATTAGGAGCGGAATAAAAGAGGGGGGAGATAAAGAAGTGGGGGGCAGAGTTACAGCCCCGTTCCTTTGCCAGGTAAGTCCACTACGGGCTCACCATAGCCCGTGCTACTTAGAACTTTTGTTCTGAGTAGTTGAATCTAAAACAACAAACAACAAAGGAGTGGGATAGAGGAGGCGGGAAAGGGGAGGGGAGACATAGAGCTGAGTGGACATGGGAAGGGGAGCAAATAGAGGGGATAAAAGGATGGAAACATGTGAAATAATAGAGGGGAGTGGAAGACAGGGGAGAATAGAGGGGAAGATACCGGAGGGGGAGACGGGAGGCGATACATGGGGGAGGGAATAGAGAAGAAAACAAGGTAGGGGATAAAGAGGGGAGGGATGGAGGTAGGTGTCGGTGGACAAGCCTCTTTTCCGGAAGAAAACGCACACAAGGAGGTGGGTGGGTGGGAGGGGGTGGAGGGGGGGGGTAAAGTAAGGGGTGGAAAGGAGGCTGGAGGAAGAGCGACGAAGGAATCGCAGTGGAAGGGGGAACCAAGACACATCCAGAGAGACTTGCTCTTGGATCCCTCTCCGGTTAATTGTTGAACAATTAACGACATTCAAGAGACAGTGACTGTCCTTAGACAGACCAAATCAATCAGAGGGTAGTAACTACAGACCAATTACAGACTACATTCAGCGGATGTTGATTGCTCTTATGCCAACTACACAAGTTTCAAAGGAACCTGTTTTACCAGCGAAGACTGTCTTTAAACCAACCTGTCATCTCCACTCATTTCCCGGTCTCTTTTTTGTACACAACTCTCTCTCTCTCTCTCTCTCTCTCTCTCTCTCTCTCTCTCTCTCTCTCTCTCTCTCTCTCTCTCTCTCTTTCTTTCTTTCTTTCTCTCTCCAATCGCCTCCAACTTCCGTAATTCCCGGATTCCGCAGATTACTGGGGATTAGATGAGGCGTTCTCCCGAGAAAGCCAGTCATAAGGACGTTATCTTCAAGTCGTCTTCAACAGGCTTCTGGGGCAAGGTAATCAGCTCCTCAATTTCAGAAATGGCCGGTGATGCTCGCTTTCTTGTCTGGAGTTGTGTAATTGTCTGTCTGTCTGTCTGTCTGTCTTGCAATGGACCTGTCCGCTTGTCTCTCAGTTTCTGTGGTTTGTAAGCATGTTACTGTATGTGTGTGAATGTATGTATGCATGTATTCATATATGTATGAATGTATACGTGTGTGTGCTTATATCTGTTGTATACTTGTGTGCATATATCGATGCATACATGTGTGTGTGTGTTGCTTCTAAGAAATGTATAGCTGTGTTTATATATAATGTATATTTGTGTGTTTTTATGACATGTATATTTGTGTTTCTAATTAATGTATATTTATGTGTTTTTATCACATGTATATTTGTGTTTCTAATTAATGTATAGTTGTGTTTATAATTAGTGTATAGTTGTGTTATAACTAATGTATAGTTGTATTTATAACTAATGTATAGTTGTATTTATAACTAATGTATAGTTACATTATGGCGTAACTAATGTATAGTTGTGTTTATGCATGTATGGTTTTTGTCTGTCAATATTAGATGCGTGTATGGGTGTATAGGGGTGGTAGGGGTATTTGTGTGTGGATGTGTGTGTGTGTGTGTGTGTGTGTGTGTGTGTGTGTGTGTGTGTGTGTGTGTGTGTGTGTGTGTGTGTGTGTGTGTGTGTGTGTGTGTGTGTGTGTGTGTGTGTGTGTGAAAACGTTTATGAGTCTGCTGGAATGTAAACAAACTCACTTTGCCTAAGCCAGACTCTTTCAAATATATTGCAGGCAAGATCAATACATACAATTTGATACCCAAGATATTAAACTCTCTCCTGTGTAGGGTAACAAGTTTTATGTTATACACTGACAACAACCAATCACCGTGCCTTAAGAGACATGAACCGGGAACTGACTAGTAGTGATCTTAGCCGCCGCTGCCTGACACGTTCATGATCTCCAAATTAAACTGATGTGAAAATGTTTCACTTCAAGACTTATCACTAAATAAAATCCCAATTGTAAGGCAAGTTCACTTCCTATATTGCAAATTTGCCAATTGGAGTTTTGTTAGTGTAAACGACCATTTAAAAAATAAATGTGTCAAGAGAAAATTATTATATTATGAAGTCACCGTCGAAGCAAGGAAGTTGTTGTTGTTCCAGATTTAGCTACTCAGAACGAAGTGTCCATGTAGCACGGGCTATGGTGAGCCCGTAAAGCAAGGAAGACGCGCCGGAGACTAATATATCAGGGAGGCAGGTGAGAAGGGAGGGCTTCCGGCCTCAGCGGCTGGTACTGGGTAGTGGAGGCCAGGACCACAACTTTCTCATGTAAATGCCTTTCCCACGTTTCCTGCCATACGCAGCTACCTGCTTTTCCCGCCCTTCTGAAGCCGCTCGCCGCTCTGTTTCAGCCCCTGCACGCTTTTCAGGACGTGGGCCTTCCTGCATTCCTTGTGTAGATGCTCTTCCTGTGGTGAATAACCACTGGTACGGTCTATGAGGGTATGCGAATAATAAGTGGTGTCCACTAGTGTCTCCAGTAACTCTTTGCTTCCATTCCGGTACTTAGATTCTCTCCAGTTTCCATGCGTCGCGATACATTGTCTTCCTGGATTGAATGACCAAGAGAGCGAGCGTGAATTAGAGATAAATAACTGTTAGTTCTGGCTTTGAAAGAGGGAGAAAATTCGAAGACTTTGGAAGCGGTAAGTCTAGGTGCTGGGTACATGTGTTCCCCCCACCGACGTTTCGCAACCATCCGAGACTCAGCGAGGCCGCACATCGTCTTTCGATTGGACGCCGGTGCGCTATAGACGGTGCGTGTCTCGGACTATTGCCGCTCTCATGGAGACCCAGTTTCATGGCGCGCGCGGCGGTGTGCCTCAGAAAGGTCCCAACTCTGACGGCGTAAGGTCGGGTGCCGCTGTCACACACGCTAGAGATTGAGTCCGTAACTACCAGCCAGCTGTCAAAATGGAGGTGGAAGCGGTGATATAGTGTCATTGAAGGATAAAAGAAAAAAAAAATCCGAAGAGGAATTACATGAAAAGTTTTGCAAAACAGTGAAGCGTTTCTGGATACTTGAATATATTTATATACATATATAAGTGAATATCTGTGCGATAGAAAAGATATATATTTATAAAACGATCAGGTGTCAATAAAAAAAATATAAAAATATGGCTTTGAGCCCAAGAACTTTGGTGTCACTCTGTGCTTTGTTGCTGGCACACCACCTCACGGCTGCCACAGGTCAGTACATAATGGAGATGAGTTTTGCACTTCTACTGCCACTGGTTAAAGAATACAAGTTGTTTACACCCACGAGCATGACAATCTCAGTGTCCTCTCGTAGAACCGCGAGAGAACGGAACGAGAGAAGCTTGAAAGAGATAGAGAGAGAGAGAGAGAGAGAGAGAGAGAGAGAGAGAGAGAGAGAGAGAGAGAGAGAGAGAGAGAGAGAGAGGGAGAGAGAGAGAGGAGAGAGAGAGAGAGAGGAAGAGAGAGAGAGAGAGAGAGAGGAGAGAGAGAGAGAGAGAGAGAGAGAGAGAGAGAGAGAGAGAGAGAGAGAGGAGAGAGAGAGAGAGAGAGAGAGAGAGAGAGAGGAGAGGGGAGAGGGGAGAGAGAGAGAGAGAGAGAGAGAGAGAGAGAGAGGAGAGAAAGAGAGCGAGGAGAGAGAGAGAGAGAGAGAGAGAGAGAGAGAGAGAGAGAGAGAGAGAGAGAGAGAGAGAGAGAGATAAGAGGGCCTTGTATGACAGCAGGTGGTCAGACGAGCGAGGGGTGATTTCAACGCGCGCCTCGGTACCAATCCTGAGTTGGCCTTGTGGCACCTCGCCTACCCTCTCTCTCTCTCTCTCTCTCTCTCTCTCTCTCTCTCTCTCTCTCTCTCTCTCTCACATCTCTCACAACCACATCAAGAGGTTATCCAGCGGCCTTGTACCCCTGTCTCCGTTGCTGCTATATATGTGTATTCGTTACTCACCATGATTTAACAATTGTTTAGGAGGATAACTGTTATCTTAACTGACCTCTCTCATCTTGGCTAACAGCTCTTATCTTTAATGGATCCTGTTATCTTGGATGATCGCTGTTATCTTGATTGGCTGTTGTTATTGGTTAGTCGTTATCTTGGGAGACCACTATTTTCTTAGATGGATGTTGTTATCCTAGCAAGCTTCTGTTATCTTAGCTAACCGCTGTTATCTTAGCTGGCTACTAGTATCTTAGCTGGCTACTAGTATCTTAGCTGGCTACTAGCATCTTAGCTGGCTACTAGTATCTTAGCTGGCTACTAGTATCTTAGCTGGCTACTAGCATCTTAGCTGGCTACTAGTATCTTAGCTGGCTACTAGCATCTTAGCTGGCTACTAGTATCTTAGCTGGCTACTAGTATCTTACCTGGCTACTAGTATCTTAGCTGGCTACTAGTATCTTAGCTGCCTACTAGTATCTTAGCTGGCTACTAGTATCTTAGCAGGGGTACTGGTATCTTAGCTGGTCGTTATGTTAGATAGCCGTTGATATCTTAGGTGATCACTATTATTTTAGCTGATCACTGTTATCTTGGCTGGCCACTGTTATCTTAGCTAGCCACAGTAATCTTGGATAACTGATATTCTCTAAGCTATTGACTGTCTTCTGAGATGGTCACCGACTAGAGTAGTCACTGAGAACTGGAGCAATCACTGTTAAGAGATTTGGTCCATGTTTTACGTGTCGAGTCATTATTGATTTGGCTGGTCACTGTCGACTGGACCAGTTAGTTTTGGAGGAACCGATACGTCTTTACTGGTCTGACTACTGTTGACTGGTCTCATCAGTCCATTTGATTGATCGTTATTGACTGGAAAGTTCACTGTTAACTGGACTTAATCATTGATTACTGGGCTTATCAATGTTGACTGGACTAATGAAGGGGTGACTGAACCGGCCACTGTTGGACTGATTACTGCTGACTTGAGTAATCACTCTATATTGGGTTGATCACTGATTATTAAGCTGATCACTGAGTTAACAATGAATAGTGACTGGATTGGTCACTGTTAACTCATTACTGCTATTCTGAACTCATCACTGTTTACTGATGACTGATGACTGAGTTATTCACTGTTGTGTAGGCCAGTCACTGTTCAGTCTGTATATGTTTCTGTTGCAGCATCTTAATGATTTAAGGGAAACGAGAGGAAACATTTTTGAGTGACTCAGAAAAAGATTTATTGTAAACATATTCTGGAAAGGGATATTGTCCTTTTCATCTGAATTTAATTAGATGTACAATGCTGTCTATCTGTCTGTCTGTCTGTCTGTCTGTCTGTCTGTCTGTCTATCTGTCTGTCTGTCTGTCTGTCTGTCTGTCTGTCTGTCTGTCCTTTCTTGTTATCTCTCTCGTCTTCCTTCTGCTGCTGCTCCTCCTCTTCCTTCCTCTTGCTTTCCTTCATTCTCTTCTTCTCCCTCACACACCATTCTCACCTTCCGAAAAATGCACCTTTTTCTTCTCTACCACAACAGCCTCGCCTCCTTCAGAAGAACAAGAGATAAGAGTACAGGTGCCCTGCTTGGGTTCCTATATATATATATATATATATATATATATATATATATATATATATATTATATATATATATATATATATATATATAGTGTTCTCTTTTGACTTATCCAATATATAATTTTTGACTTCTTTTTTATGCTGTTTGATGCTTGTTTGGCTTCTCTGGTGTATGCCATTTTAGTGACTTTTTTTTCTGGTGTATAGAGTGTATTTTAAATTCTTCTCTGTAGTATGGAATATGTTTGGCTTCCTCTCTTGTATCTGGTGTATTTGGCTTCTTCTTTGGTGTATGAAGTGTATTTTGGTTTCTTCTCTTGTGTATTGTGGTTTTATTCTTTTTTTTTTTAGTCTAATGTGTTTTTAGCTTTATGTGTGATATTGGAGGTGTAGTTCTTTAGTCTGGTAGCTGACCAGACCACCAACGACGAGGCCTGGTCAGAGACCGGGCCGTCGGGAACGTGGATCTCCGGAATCACCACAAGGTAAGGTAACTGTATCGGGTCTGCAGAGCGGGTTAATTATTTTTTTTGTTTCGGACTTGTGACTTTATCAAAAGATTTAAAATTGTTATCTCTGTTTGTGTTATATAAAAGATATCTGATCCAGCATTGTGACAGATAGCTCTTTATCAACATATTTATGAAGCAAGAAAATCGCTGATAGAAAACCCTAACTCATAAGCGACTTTGTAAACTGTTGGGGAAATGGGGAAGAGGGAAGGGAGCTGTCTATGGGGAAGAGCAGGTTGTCTAAGGGGAAGTAGAGTGTATCAAGGCAAGTAGGCTAAGGGGAGAAGGCTGTCTAGGGGGAGAGCAAGATATCGAAGGGGAGAGAAAACTGTCTAACGTGGGGAGCAGGAATTCTAAGAGGCAGTAGACTGTTTAAGGAGAGTAGACTGTCTAAGGGTAGTAGACTATCTAAAGGGGGAATAAACTGTCTAACGGTGAAAGCAGGCCGTCAAAAGGGGGGTAAATAGACTGTCTAAAGTGTACTTAGATATATAAAGGTAAGTAGACTGTATAAGGAGAAAAAGACAGCCTATAAGTTAATGGATAATCTAAGAGTACAAAAAACTATTTAAGAGAACATTATCTGAGGGTTGAAACTGTCTCAATCAGAAGACTGTCTAAGATGAGTAAACCAAATGATGAGTGGCATCCCTAATGGGCAGGTAGACTCAGAGAGAGAGAGAGAGAGAGAGAGAGAGAGAGAGAGAGAGAGAGAGAGAGAGAGAGAAAGAGAGAGAGAGAGAAAAGTAACTTGCTTAAAGGATGAGGAGACGGCCAAAGGTGCGCAAAGCCAACACAAGAGGTGCCAGGCTGACCTACAGCCGAAACCACTTGTACTGGCTTGACTTTCACCGGAGCAATGCTGTCTGACGGTGCCTAGACGGACCCCTAGCTGAATAGATAATTGTGTGTGTGTGTGGAGGTTACACGTTAGGAGGGTTGGACAGGTGGGGTGGAATAGTGTTATGTGTGATGGGTAGTAGGAAATGTTAGGAGGGAGAAAGGGTAGGGGGGTGGTTAGGAAATGTGTAGGGTATAGTGGGATGAACTATTAGAAAGTTATAAAATAGCCATGTAGTAGTTGCCTTTCCCCCCCTAAAGAGGAGGCACTAATCTACAGGGCAATGTCCCGTACCTGCCGACTGTGTAAGGTGATGGAGAAAACAGTAATAAATAATAGTAGAAAATTTGGTGAAAAGAGACTTTGTAATGTATCATAAGAATGGCTTCCATGACCGGACGAGAGAACTCAGACAGGACAGAGTAGGGTGGACCGAGTGCATATTTTTGAATTGTCAAAAAGCCTTCAGCACAGTTCCCCACGTGATAATAATTCACAAGTTGGAGGAACAGGCAAGATGGACAGGGAGGGTACTGCAGCGGATGAGTATCTAAGTGACAGAAGACACAGAGGTCCAGTGACAGGAGAATTGTCATAGAGACGACTAGGTCTCGCCAGGAGCGTTCTACATGCAGGTACTTGGATCTGTATGGGTTGTGTTATACGCAAATGATATTTCAATGCCGATAATTTCCTTTATATCACTGAAGGGATGTTTCTAGAGTTTAACTCAAGTAATTGCAAACTAATAACACTTGATGCTGGGACCATGCAATGTCTGATGCAATGTACAAAATTAAAGAACAAATTCTTTAGGAATGAAACAGAGATGTACACCTGTGACATATCATTACCGGTGTATGCAAGATTATCAACATTAAAAATAATTTAAGAAATTTGAATTTAAAATCATTATATATAGTAATGTCGGTATAACTCTTAAATATGCGGCACCAACTTGGAATCCTTATCTTGTCAAACACAAAGCAGTGCTAGAAAAAGTCCAGAGCTCTGCCATTAGACAAGTCACAGAGCTAAGAGGTATGAGTTATGAGGAAAGACTAAAGAAAAACTTCACGTCACTAGACACCATAAGATCCAAGGGAGATGTACTTACCACTTACAAGAGTTTCAAAGTATTAGACCAGGCAATGACTGATTATTTGTCACAGGACACGAACGAGGAGGGACACAGGAGGAGAAACAAAGTACCTAAAAGATTCAGAGTCATTAGAAAATTGTTATTGTCAGCGTTGTGAACAACTGGAATGAACTACAAAGTGAAGTGGAGGAGACAGACTCCACAGGAGACAGTCTCAAATACAAATACCACATTGTCTTAGAAGCTCAC